CGTGTTAATGCTCATTGAATTGGCAGTTATGAGTGGTTGTACATATATACATATGTATGTATGTATATCGGTATATATGGACATTCATAGACATTTCGCTAGAATAATAGGCCCCCTCCGACTTATTCGGTTTAAGGGCTCACTGAGGTCTGCAGCGTCTGTTCACCAGTAAGTGCGGCTGCAAGCTGGTGTCTGTCTTGGGGAAGGTGCCTCTGCCCGGGTGGTTGATGTCCTCGTAAGGACAAAAGCTGACATCACCGCCATTCAAGAAATGCCTTGGATGGGGCAAGATAAGCAATCAAAGGCACCCTGAAATTGTGCATATGGAAACTGTGCATACGAAATAATGCATATGAAAAAAACCGAAATAATGCATACGAAAAAAACCGAAATAATGCATATTAGAAAAACCGAAATTATGCACATGCCTCTTTCGTTTGAAAACCGAAATAACGCATATGAGAAAACCGAAGTAAAGCATACATGCACAGTTTCGACTCAAAACCGAAGTAATGCATATGACAAAAACCGAAATAGTGCATACATGAAAACGAACTTCTTTCTGAGTAGGCGGCCTTCGGCCGCGCATAGGGATTATAACCCTTACTAAGTAGAATTCTCCTTTCTGTGTTGCCGGAAAAGAAGGGCGGAAGTATTTTTGCGCAGAACTTCTCTCTGCGTAGGCGGCCTTCGGCCGCGCTTAGGGATTATAAACCTTACTAAGCAGAATTCTCCTTTCTGTGTTGCCGGAAAAGGGGGCCGGAAGTACTTTTGCGCAGAACTTCTTTCTGTGTAGGCGGCCTTCGGCCGCGCTTAGGGATTATAACCCTTACTAAGTAGAATTCTCCTTTCTGTGTTGCCGGAAAAGGGGGCCGGAAGTACTTTTGCACAGAACTTCTTTCTGCGTAGGCGGCCTTCGGCCGCGCTTAGGGATTATAACCCTTACTAAGTAGAAGTAAATAATTCATATTAGAAAAAACGGAATTATCCATATGCACACTTTCGTTAGAAAACCGAAACAATGCATATAACAAAAACCGAAATAATGCATGCATGCACAATTTCTGTTCAAAACCGAAATAATGCATATGTGAAAGACGAAGGTATGCATACATGCACAGTTTCGGTTGAAAACCGAAATAATGCATATAACAAAAACCGAAATAATGCATGCATGCACAGTTTCGGTTGAAACCGAAATAATGTCTAAATGCACAGTTTCCATATGCGCAATTTCGGTGCCCCGCAATCAAAGCGGGCTTCTTCATGATATGAAAATCATGCTTGGCGACTTCAATGCCAAGGTGGGCAAGGAAGGGATCTTTGGAACCACCGTCGGAAAATTCAGCCTCCACGACGAAACGTCCGACAATGGACTGAGGCTGCTCGACTACGCCGGGGCCCGAAAAATGGTAGTATGCAGTACTATGTTCAAGCATAAAAGGAGCCATCAAGCTACGTGGTTGTCTTTAGATCGAAAAACGAGAAACCAAATCGATCATGTCGCGATAGACGGTAGGCACGATTCCAGTGTTTTGGACGTACGTACACTCTGAGGCCCAAACATCGACTCTGATCACTGATTCCTGTGTTGTTCATAGTCCAGAACAACTTATCCCAATACACTTCCTGTGCTGTATCCGGCGAGGGAGACTATCTCATACATTCTGCTCGTCTCGCTCGCTTTATTCATCTTGCTAGTGAGTACACTGCAGTCATGTACTGCCAACTAACCTTAACAGCTACACCAAGCCGGAGTGATTGCTCGACCAGCTCGACCTACAGTCCGATTTTAAAGTATGATATATCGATATTCTTGTATTTTTTTCAAAATTCATTGACCTCAAGTGCCCCGTTCTAGTACTGAGTCACCAGATCTCAGTTCCTACTATCCCAACGACCATGCTAATGTAAAAATAATTTTTTTTTTCGAAACTGCCTTGTAAAACTAATTTAAACTTAGGGGGGTTCGGCAATTTTTTTGTTTGCCTGTAAGGTGGTATGGTTTAATGTATAAATCGTTGAAAAGCGCATACAGTTCATCGTCATCAATTTCACTTTAAAGATTTGAATATTTCGCTCAATTGATACTTCTTAAGAGCATAAAATACTAAACTTGAAACCACAAGAATCCAGAACGATAAAATGCGGAGGAGAGTATCTAACTAACTAACTAAAAATAGGCCGAAAATAATCGTAAATAATCATTACAACATAGCAAAAATTCGAAATTCGTTGGTTCTTGGTGTGTTTTGTCACGAATACTCCATAAAATAAGAACTTTCTTTAGGTAAACAAGCTGCCAACTTAAGTACCAAAAACACCATAATCCGTCTAAGAACTGCATACTTGTGTAAATTATTAAACGAAATTTCATGGTCGACCATTTCAATAATTTCGTCTGAGAATATTTAGCCTGCCAAATTCTTTGCTTTTATATGCTTACACAGTTAAATGGTATAAAATGTAAGCCTGCGCATCAGTTCAATTTTAATGAGCGCTCCCAGCGATTCAATACTTAAACTAGCTGAAGTCAGTAAATTTCTCCAATGCTGTGTTGGGCAATTTACCCAGCCTTCCTAACGGCCGCCGAACAAAGTGCTGCATTGTTTGGTATGTATTTGAGCTCATTACGCTGCAGCCAAAGCAGTTATTCGACTTGCAAACTTATCAGCGCGTCGGCAATATTCACATTGTAAACACAGCACTCGTTGCACATTTTCCTCGCTTTTCCAATTTCCTCGCAATCAGTGCGCGCGCCTGCGCTTCATTAATGTTGTTTTGGTTGTTTGTGCAGCTTTGCCTCCTCGCTGAAGGTGCGTGAGATATGCATTATTTATCTTTGGAAATTCTTCTCATTGCTTTTGCACATTTTCTCTGCGATCTTTTTCGATGCGCGCTATTGCTATTTTAGCCAATTTTCGAATTTGCTGTGCACTGATCAGCGGCAACAACAACGAAGAAAACGACAAGCGATTCAATCTTT